GCTTAAGGGCAGAGGCTAAGGTTATTGCTTGAGATGTTTGCTTGTATGGTTTTCAGTATGTCAGATTAAGGCTTTTGGGCTGTTGCTGGTTACCAACGAGTCGAAAAATCTGATCGGTCTTTTCAATGGTACGACTGCGTGCAAGCAAAATTTCTTTGGCCAGCCCGCGAAGCCTGTCAAGTATAGCATATCGTCGTATTTATTTATCTCTCGTCTTTCTGAGCTTTCGCTTAAGAGCTGTTAACGTAGGCCAGCAACGAAACTGTTAAACTGTTTATAAACCGTGGAGGTGAATCGTCTGAGTAAGACATGAGTTGAGTGCCAGTTGCGCAAATTTTCCTCATTCCATCGCGCCATGGCATTCGTGTCCGTTTGTTGTTGCAGTACTGTTTAGTACCGTAAACGCTTGTTCTAGCGGTATGAGACGCAGCGTTGGAAAACGAAATATGAATCAGTTTGCACATTACTTTTGACATAATTTTAAATTCAATCATGTTTATGCCCGGACTCCTCAGCAGTCATCTATTATACAGTGGTCTTGATGTCGTCTGGGTTATCACAGATGGGTAAATCATGCGTAGGCATTTTGTCTTACAGCCGATGTTTCCAGCAACATTCTGTCATTGCGCATGAGAATGAACCGAGTCTGCTGCGAAGCATTGACCTTGTGACTAAAACGTTACTATTTCATTTACCTCTTTGTGAAATCTCAGTCAGTGTAATTATTTCACATATTAAGAACTAATTAGCGTGTTCAATGTGGTCTTCATACTTATTACCAAGTAACTGCACTATACTTCTGTTATGGAGATATGTTGACATTTCGAATCATGTTTGATTCATTGTCGAGGTACATCGGTAGAAGCAAGTCGAACATAAATGATGTGGCTGAAGTGAATGCATCGTCAGAGTATGAGATCAAACGGCATTGCAGGCAACATGCTAATTGCTGTCTAAATGAACTCGTCAGTCGAACGAAAACTATATCATTTCTGCAGGGTTCAAGGTAAGGCGATTGCCAAAACGCATTGTTAAAGACCTCACTCACCGCTGAGCTGCTTGGTTTCATAACTAACCGGGGAAAAGTAAGAATTAATGTTTGCGAGCAAAGTGTCCAAAGATAAAATATTTCGTTCGTGAGTTGGTGGTCATACTGAAAACACAGCATTAAGTTACTGTGGGCAGTCCGATGATTGACCAATGCCGACGTTTCGGCCCGTATCTCACGGCTTTCTTCAAATTCAAATTTCAAATCAGGTTGATGGTGAAGTTTCATGAATGTGATTGTTCGTCCGCATCAGTCAATAATTTCAGAGGTAGAAGGCAACCTTTCGATCAGTGCCGTTGATTAAATAGTTTCTGAGCGAGAGGGGCAACAAGACTCATCCAGTCCGCGCAGAGTTCGTATCCTTTGTCACGGTTGACGTTTTCCGCTTTCAGTAGTTAACTCGGTATTTTGAGCGAATGGTATATTGACGAGGTCTATGAACTTGTTTTCGTCACCACTCGGAGCGTTTACAAAAATATAGTCAGCATATCTTTTGAAAACTCTTAGATAAATGTCTGGGTTGGCGTCTTGAACCATATTTTCAAAGTGGTTCATGAAACATTTGGCAAGTATGGGGGAAAATGGGTTACCCATGGGTGCTCCTTTGATTCATTCGAAGAAAGTACCGTCAAAGGAGAATTAATTTGTCTCTACAATACTGAAAGTTATTAGCTTTACGATGCAGTTAGCTGAGACGTTAGCACGTTGCTTAAATAAATTATCTCCTTGATGAAGTTTATCAAGTGTTTTAGCAGTAAGGTGAATAGGAATGTTGGTAAAGATGCCTTTAACGTCGTAACTCGCGATGATGCTTTCTGCAGATTGCATAATCTGTTTCAGTTCTTTGCAAAACTTGTGGACCTTCTTGATGTAAGATGTGTTACTTCCATTTAAAGGTCTGAGTATTTTAGCGGTCAGTTTCGAAACCTCTGCGAAAATGCAGCACAGTAGAGAAAATTCGTCTGAACGGAATATCAGGTTTATATATTTTAGACGTCAGCAAAGGAATGTCTTCATCTTCATCTTCCATCGCCGCTTCTCCTTTCCGGTCGAGGAAGACGCGTCAGATAGTGCTTCCAACGTTCCCCATCCTGTGCCATAGTCTGAGCTTCGGCGAAAGACAAATGCAGTCTGGAACACACTCCTTCCATATGTTTGCACCAGGTTAATCTTGGCCGACCCAGGGGCCTTTTGC